GTAAAAGTTTATTTTCTGTAATAGTTCCACTAAACATTTACTGATTTAGATAGAGAGGTAAAAAAGAAACTATTTGTAAAATATTGGAATATTTTTCTTTAGAGGAGATGCGTAACTATTTAAAATACCAATATCATGAAAAGGCATTGGATGATATTGATTGAAAATACGGAATAAATAGGAAATCACAATTTTTATAACCAAACATCTGTTTCATTTTATTAATTTTATATATACACTTAAAAGCCTAGCAGCTAGATGGTGGTGCATCACTCAAGCGCCTATTTTTGAGCTGTTCTGAGCCACCTGCAGCTGAGGAACAACATCTCGTTAAGTTTTAAAGAGCTATATTTTTATAAAAATATGTCCTCTTTGTTACTGTATCATGATATATCGGGATAAATCGTACAGCAATATTGTGATTGTATGGTATCGCCAAAAAACTGCTAGTTCACAGCACTAGGTTTGGAATTCTAAAAGCACGACCGTTTTTTAAATTAATTCTTAGATAGCGGAATACGTGATTTATTTCTTATTTTTTTCTTGAGTACATGTTTTTTTTTTTATTTAAGAATGAATGGAGCTTGTAAATGTCTAATGGATCCTTTATGCTTATTCACAGCAGAAAGTCATGGGTAAAATCCAGAGATGGGAAGTAACAGAGTACAAATACTTCGTTACTGTACTCAAGTAGATTTTTCTGATATTTTTACTTTACTACTTATTTTTATGGCGACTTTTTACTTCTACTCCTTACATTTTTACGCAAATATCTGTACTTTCTACTCCTTACATTTTAAAAAATTAGCTCGTTACTTTAGTTTTGAATCATTTCAATGGAGTTACCGTTATTATTTTTCACGTCATCAATACCAAATTCAATCTAATTGGATGGGAATCTACGTTGCATTTGACGCACCACTACAAGATGAATCGACAGATTCGGCGGTATTCATTTGCGGCAAATCATTGCAGCTTGGTGGCGGTGGCGTTAGCATAGTAGTATGGACGACAAGATGATTGAAAAGGAACACAACGGATATCTAGTCCTATTGGCAGACATCCATTTAAAATGTAGGCAACGGCATGAAAAAAGTGGTTTCTACTTTTACTTTTATACTTTAAGTAAATTTACAAGCCTGTACTTTGTTACTTTTACTTGAGTAAAGAAGTTTAAGCAGTACTTTTACTTTTACCAGAGTATTTTTTAACACAAGTATCTGTACTTTTACTCAAGTACGGAAAGTGAGTACTTTTGCCATCTATGGTAAGATCATGGATGAAGTTTTGATTTCAGAAGTGGGGGGGGGGGGCGCAAGTACTTTTGAATATAACTAACTTCAGGATGTTTGACGATTCAATCACAGACTTCATTCATCGGCACATCAGATGTTTGTAAAGTGAGCTTCTCAGGAGTGACAGCTGTGACAGCCAATCACACAAGAGAAGACAGAGATCCAATCAGGAGCTAGGGGCGGTCTAATCAGGGAAGTGGGCTTCAGCTTGACCTGCGGTTTTCCCCTTGGTCCTAGTGCAATGAATGTCTGTGTACTGCTGCGTAATATCGGTTTTGGACTGTAAAAAGTCCCCCTGTCCTCCCCTAAAAATTACTTCCATGGGTAAGATCATCCCTGCACTTTTTCAGCAATTTTTATAGCAGTTCTCTTGGCTGAGCTGCTTCTACTACATTTATGTTGTCTATATATTTTTTGGCCAATCAGATTTCGAGCGTTTGTGCGTTACGTCAATCAAATCTCCCCAGGGCCTTCAGAATCAGCAATATTGGCTGAATTTAACAATATTAATGAAGAATATTTTCTTCAACCAATCAGATTTCAGATTTGCCCCACTTTGCCACTTAGCGGTGTCACCCATACATCAGCATTTTCTGTCCTCTGATTGGTCTGTTAGAGCAAAATTTTTACAAATGGTAACCTAGTGACAATCTATAAGATGAGTTTTGTTCCCTTTTTGACAAGTTAGCTCAACTGATCTCAGTTTTATTTAATATCTGACACCAATGTTATATTTTGTGTGCAGATTTTAAAGAGGTGTTAATTATCGGATTAACAACACCGCCTCAAATCCGACAGTAGATGTAATAATAAATGTGGAAACTGATGATAATCTTTTTGATTTAAAAAAAAACATCATCACTTAAACATATTTATTCAGGCTAAGACATTAATAAATACAAATACATAGACTCAATGACAATAAAATTATTCAGAATTGAAATAAAACATTGACATGTAACTTGACTTTAGTTACATGTGCAGCAGAGATCTGTATGAGGGAAAATGCATGCTTAAAATCAAAAATATTAACCAATATGTCTTCAAATTGCAGATGCAGTCCTTGCTGGTAGATAACACTCAAGTTATGTACAAAAAGTAACAATTGTCACCAAATTTGAAGAATATTAACTTAACTAAAATACATTTAAAACAGTTTGTACATAAACAATTCCTATCTACATCACCTATGGGTTGCAAAAAATGACTTTTCACATATGCAAAAGGTCTAAAGGGCTGGTTATACTCTGACTACCTCACTAAGTCTGACAAAGTGTAACTGAAGGCTTTGGAAAATGCGATGACACTGAATTGATCATGAAATGTCTGAGTTTAGTTGCTCGAGTAAAATCCATGCATGGATCCAGAGACGACTGGATTATTTATAGCTGGAACATTTCTCTGACAAAAGCAGGAAAGAAATGAAGCAAAGTGCAGCTTGATGACATCGATGGACCTTCTTTTACAGATTCTAAGCAACCATGAGCTGCAAAATACAAATATATCTTTAGAGAGAAAAAAACAGAACAGAAACAGACACGGATGTAACATCTGCATCTATTTAGATTTAGAGATTCATATTCTTAACATCTCACTTCTGCAGCACATTACTGGCACAGCTGTTAAAGTTAAATAAGGAGCTGGAATTAAAAGCATATTTTATTGCACAACCATAATTAAAAGATGTAATTACATTTTTGAGAAAAACTTATGGTTTATAATATCTAACCATTCCTATGAAATAAGTTTAACTGAAGGTTTATTTTAACTTTTTAATTCACTTTTTATGTATTGCTGCACTGATTTACAGTGGAGCAATATTTCTCAACAAAGACATTTTTCAGGTTTTGAAGTATTTCAGTGTAATATCTGCCTAGAGGCAGGGGCGGATTTAGGAAATGTGGGGCCCTAGGCAAAGACAGGTAGGGGGCCCTCTGGAGTCAGAAGACAACTCATAAAACAGCCCCATTCTACAGATAGAGAAATGTTAATAGAATAGACATCCATTATCTGTTCTAGGTTGTGTCCCTCTCTTCTTGTCCCTTTTCTTCTTGTTTTCCTCTCTATGTTTTGTACTCAGCTGACTTTTCATGCTGTCTCTAAAGGAATGAAAGATTTTTTCCAAGCACTAAGCTCACTTAGCTGATTGCTCCTTCCTGTGTTTCCAAAAAGGCCAAAGTAAATAACCCAGTCCTTCTTTTCACTGTAGACCAGCCATGATCTGCTTATCTGTTCTCCATTTTTCATTTGGATGAAATAATAGCTGCATGAATCATGACAGCAGACAAGATAGAGGAGAGCAGGAGGCGGGGTTACCAATCTACTCGCTCTGGAGAGCAGAGTTCGCTGCTTTTAGATGTTGTCTCCAAAGTCTCCAGTAGCAGAAAAAAAGTCTCTAGATTTGGCGCTAGGAGCTTTTTAGAAATCAAAGTGTTAGAGGGGTCTGAAAAGTGGCTAAATATAGCGACTAAAGTGCTAAGTTGGCAACACTGCTCTATGCATCGTTTGTTTTCAAATGGTTTGCTGCTGTCTGTTTGGACCTTTCTGAACATGTGCAGCAAATGGACTGATCCAATATGGTGGACGCTGAAGGGGGGGCTGAGACACACTTAATATTATCAGCGCTCTGATGGCATTTTAGCCAAAGGATTTTGATCAAAAACATAATTAATGTGCAGAAATACATGTTAAACGAGTTTTATGGGGGCCCCCCAGGAACTTGTGGCCCCAGGCAACTGCTTAGTTTTGCCCAAGGATTAATCTCCCCTACCTAGAGGTTTCATATAAAAATGACTCCTTACTTCATATTTATTCTTGCTATAATTTAAAATAAAAAAATTGTGAAAATTTGCACTTCTAACCATGAAATAAACCAATATTATTCAACAGGTGTTTAATATCTCCAAAGATTGATGAGGGTTTTGCAGCTCTGGCCAAATGAAGTCAGTCAGCATGAAGGTGAAAATGGCTTTCTGGGTCGTTGTTATCCTGTGAGACGCCTGTTTCCTTTAGGCACTGGCTACTAGCTGGCAGGTTTATATTGACGGCATGCACAGAAGATGAATAAGGGATGTAAAGACATCTAATAAGCTCCCTTTATTAGACTTGATGTTAAAAAGTCTCCACCATTATAGGCTATACACATGCTTTTGTGGAAGAATTATTTTCTGTCCTTCAATCACAAATGTAAACTTTTTGAGTTTCCAAAATGCTTTCATTGCAATAATATAATCCTTTTTTGGGAGCAAACACTAAAGATGGTTCTTACTTAAAACAAATTATGATCAAGAGTAACAAAAAAAAAAAAAATCACCTTATACTGTTAAGTACGGTAGAGGATCTGTAATGATCTGGGCTCGTTTCTCTTCCAAAAACTCATGATTTTTCTTATTTAAGTTTTGTTTTTTAAGAGAGGAGGACAATTTCACGTCTCCGAAGTAGAACTAATCAGGATTAAACCTCGTAACAACTCAGCCGGTGTTTGTTGAAATGGGATTATTTGTACTACTTAACAAATGTAGAGTTTTTCATGTATTTTGCTGCATAAAAGATGATTCTTAACAACCAAAGAAGGGGTTATAAATACGATGCTTTTGTCACAATATGTAGATTTATGTTCCACTATCAGGTCTGTAGCACAAAGAGAAATGTCAGCAGAGGAGTAGAGATTCAAATTACAGGAAAGTCTGATCCCATAAAGATCTCATAAAGGCCTTTGTGTTTCTTCAGTCCCCATTTCCATCAGAAGTATGTGATGGAAAGAAATAAAAATCCATTAGAAGAAACACATTTAAATGTTTCCCTCAGACATCAAAGCGTGACACGATAGCTGAAATTCAAAGCGTTATCCTCTGAGGGAAGAGTTTGTCAGAGGAAGTCAGGACATGTCCGCCTCATATCGTGTTGTGACGATCAAAGCGAAGGAAAAACTCGTGGTTGAAAAATTACAGCCATCTGGTCGCATTATTTCATGTGAGACAACAAGATTTTGTGGGATTAAATCTCCCCACACCAACCTTCTGGTGTTAAGGTACATCTGCAGCTCAGTGGTTGAGATGAGAGGAGCAGTGAGTGCTTTGAAGGGCACAGGACCAGAGGACGCTGTGCGTGTCAGTTTCTGCTGCTTGCGTCGTGCATCACACATCAGGGAGGTTATTGCGTCTATTGCGGCTCTTCCTCCGGTCCAGTAGGGGTTTTAGTTTGGCCAAGTCCCCCCTGAGGGGTCCAGGTGGCTGCGGCTGCTGCTGCTGCCTCTGTTGAAGCTTCTTGAAGTCTTTTCTCTCTTTACAGTACTGCTGTACAGCCAGATTCTCTGCAGGGCTGAAGGTTTCCAGTAGGGCCTTCGGGTTTAGGGAGCTGGCCCATGCCCAGGGGGACTGCTGCTTGTCTGTCAGAACCTTCACCACGGCTTCACTCAGCACATTCAGACGGACTTTGGCGACGGTGCGTTTGAAGCCATTTTCTGTGGTCAGGCAGTAGTACAGACCCTGGTCGGACTGCTGGACGGAGCGGATCAGAAGGCCGAGCTCCGTGGAGAGGATGCGATCGTTCAGCTTAACCTGCACAAACGAATAGATTGAATGATTTTTACAGTTTTTAACCTTTTTCTAATAAAGTCTAGCTGACGTTTCTGCCAAAGATAAATAAAGAAAACTACGGAAGAGGATTAGGGCCACTGAAAAAAAAAAAGTTAACTGATTTTTAAATTTTATTTCAGTTTAACATGGGAAAAAAGTCAGAATTCTGACTTTAATCTCAGAATTCTGACTTTTTTCTCAGAATTCTGACTTTCTTCTCAGAATTCTGACTTTAATTTCAGAATTCTGACTGAATTCTGACAATAAAAAAGTCAGAATTCTGAGAAAAAAAGTCAGAATTCTGAGATTAAAGTCAGAATTCTGAGATTAAAGTCAGAATTCGGAGATTAATCTCTGAGTTCTGACTTTTTTCTCAGAATTCTGACTACTTTCTCAGAATTCTGACTGAATTCTGACAATAAAAAAGTCAGAATTCTGAGAAAAAAAGTCAGAATTCTGAGATTAAAGTCAGAATTCTAAAGAAAAAAGTCAGAATTCTGAGATTAAAGTCAGAATTCTAAAGAAAAAAGTCAGAATTCTGAGATTAAAGTCAGAATTCTGAGAAAAAAGTCAGAAGTCTGAGATTAAAGTCAGAATTCTGAGAAAAAAGTCAGAATTCTGAGATTAAATTCAGAATTCTGACTTTTTTCCCATTTATATACTGAAATAAAATAAAAAAAAATCAGTTAAAATTGTTTTTTTCAGTGGCCCTAATCCTCTCCCATAGAAAACAGTCTCAAACTCTGGTTAAATTGAATTTATTTACAGGTTTCCTGCAGAATGGAATAGTTTGGAAGTTAATTTAAGAATTTCCCATTCTGAACAAGTGTAAAGAAAAATGAAGTTCATCCAATCATGAGAAAAAAAACATCTTGCATGAAAAAAACTGTAGAAAATATTGAAATATTTTAACCATTTTGACGTCAGAGGCTCTTTAGTTTGTACTTGAGTAGTAAAAACAATTCTATTTACAGGTTTTTGCAGAGAGAATCTAATAATACCATCCAGGGATTTCTTTCTACTATAAAAAATTTAATGACGATACAAAAACCTTCCAGCTAAAGACATTTATTTTGTTCTGTACAGAATTTCACGAAATGCAAAGATGTTTTAATATGGGTTGAGGACAAAAGGCAGAAAGACCAAACTGATCAGCTGGCATAAGTTACGATAGATGTTATGGTGGATGAGGGAGTTTAAAACAACTTGATAAAAAGCTTAAATCACCAAAGCTGCGTTCACACTGCAGCAGTTCAGCCTGTTTGACTCGGACAGACCAGTGATCCATAAGGATTCATCTGCAGTACTTCTAACTGATCTTCATGCATGTATGCAGTGAATCAAATGAGAAAAAAAAGGTTTATTATAATGCAACTATTATCTTAAATAGATGCATCCCTTAGCAGACAACAGGTCTGCATGAAGCATTAGATTTAGATTTATTTGTCATTTTGTTTACACAAAAGAAATTTAGTTTAGAACAGCTCTCTGGACAATTTCTTTTTTTTTAAGTGCAGCCTTTAAAAATAGTAAAATAAATATATAAAAACAGTAATATAAACATATGACTGTAAAAATCAACTAATAAAGCTTCAGCAAAACCACTTCTAGTTCTAAGCTCTGAAATTAAGGATCATATTCTTACATTTTCTACACTGATTGTGCATCGCAACTGATTTATTGGTTGGTAGGTAGGTGCACATATGGCCTTTACATATAATCACTTTAGTCTATGCTTATTTAAATGTATCAAATTGAATGTATATATTTTTTTGATTAATAAATTGTCATTAATTAATCAATCATTTTTAATTGGAAATTAAATAGTTTTTCTTTTTTAAATTAAGTATATTTAATATTTTAATCATGTAGTGCTAGTAAGGAGTGCTGGTCTCCATCTCCAGCTGTCTACGGGCGAGAGGCGGGGGTCATGATCAGGTCGCCAGTCCATCGTAGGGCTATATTAAACTAATAAATATTAAATTACTTATTTCATAGAATATTTATATTTAGGTATTTTCAGATATTTTTACCCTCCATGTACTTTAGGATCACATCAAATTGATTGTAAAAGCCATACTGCCAACCGCCGGGGTCTGGTGACCCTCATGGGGCCCTGATCCCTGTTTAGGGAAACCCTGTATGCATGGTGGGGCTAACTTATGGGGAGCTGCAGGAAATAGGTTTAAAAATTATTTTAAATGAAAAACATCAACCAGACCATGCATTTTTTTAAATATACCTTAACATGTATGAAGAAGCAATTTGGTCGCTTCCATTTGTCATTTTTTTTTATTTTTGCCAAGACTTCCTGAAACACTCTGACGTTCTTGGCTCAAATATTAGTTGAAGAATTTCAGGATAATATAAAAATATTAAAAAAAAGGAAATAATTAAAATAAAGATTTAATTCGATAACAATATTCAAAGTAAGCTTGATGAACTTTACAGATAATAGGAGCTATATTTTTTTTTGGTATCTTGGTAACTAGTCTAGTCAGAATTTTTTCACCTGGCTGAACTTGTGAGATTTATCAGCATGTAGAATTTATTAAAAGAAAAACAAATAATATAGATTATTGTTTTCTAAAACTTTCAATTGTCTGCTATGAAATATACCATACCATTAGGAAAACAGTGACTGTTATAACTGGTTTATGTCACTAAGGAACTGAGCCATATTTTATAAGCATGAGCAGAATTGAGTGTATTATAGTTATAAATGTTCTGCCAGCTCATGTTGTAACCTCAGCTTCAACACTGTGTATAATTTATTCCTAATCTTTTCTGCCATGCATCTAATACATATGCAGAATGAATTCATATGATTTTAGGTTCTGATGGCCAAAATGAAATGCCCTCTAATTAGGCTAAGGGACTTCTAACTTTCAGAATGACGCAGAAACAGGCACAAAAATAAACGTACAGATGGACACTTGGGTGTGAAAGTAGGGTATCGTGTCGCTCTCTGCTGCTCTGATGTAAAAAAGTCGAGCTTCTTCTTCAGGCTAAAAGTCGGATTAATCAATGAGGAGAAAGAGCTTTTTCATATCAGAGTGGAGGTACATGCAATTTTTAGTTTGGTGAAAAGAAAAACATTATATTGAAAGCAGGACTTTGTAAAACCTTAAACAAAAGCTTTTGGTTCATAAGGCTGAGATATTTTTTTAAGAATGTTGTCTTTGGTTTTGAGGAGAAGTTCAGAGATTTTTAAGAGTGTGTTAAAGACAAAATGTGTCCCAGTACAAAAGTACGGTGTTTAATTTCTACACATTTCCGACTTTAAAGTTACAATGCTTTTTTTTTTTTCCAGAATGGAAATCTACGGAGCCCTTAAAGGGACATGGAGGGAAAAAAATAAACTTTTGTACGGGATCTCGCAAAAGTATTGCGAGATCCTGCAAAAGTATTGCGGGATCTCTCAAAAGTATTGCGGAATCTCGCAAAAGTATTGTGGGGTCTCGCAAAAGTATTGCGAGATCTCACAAAAAATAAACTTTTGCGAGATCTCGCAAAAGTATTGCGGGATCGCAAAAGTATTGCAGGATCTCGCAAAAGTTTTGCGGGATCTCGCAAAAGTTTTGCGGGATCTCGCAAAAGTATTGCGGGATCTCGCAAAAGTATTGCAGGATCTCGCAAAAGTATTGCGAGATCTCGCAAAAGTATTGCGAGATCTCGCAAAAGTATTGCTTGATCTCGCAAAAGTATTGTGAGATCTCACAAAAAATAAACTTTTGCGAGATCCCCTCCATGTCCCTTTTAGGGGCTCCGTAAAAATCAAACAAAAATCAAAAACTCATATGGAAAAAGCTGGACACTAATGTAGAAAATAGTAAAGATTTGACATTATTCCAAAAAAAGAAATTTAAAAACAATCCACTGGACTTTGTTTCCAAGTTTGAAGACGTTTAGCTTCCCATCAAGGAAGCTTTTTCAATTCCAAATGTCAGAAATAGCGTCGAGTTCGAGGGTTTAAAAAGTAGCCCAACAAAGCTTCGTTTTTGTTTTGAAAACATGCAAATTGGAACAGACGAAGGGGTCCACCCCTTAAGAATGGGGGTCGTTTGGCTTCTTTTGTTAGCCTGCAATGCCCTGACGCGAAACGTCTTCAAATTTGGAAACAAAGTCCAGTGGATTGTTTTTTATTTTCTTTTTCTTTGGAATAACTATGACCTGAATGACTGAGAACCTTCACCAGCATTTCATATTATTGCACCAATAATAAAATCCAGTGGAATAGGCAATTATGATATAATTAGGCTTTAAAAACTCTTTAAGTCTCGTAAATATGTAAATTTGTAGCTAATGGGTGAAAAAGGGAAATTGGTTTTCCAATCATGTTTTATCTAACTCTGTCTTGTCTGTTTATACTCTCCTAAATATCCTAAAAATAAACTTGTTTAAATTTTTCGAAACCAAATTACCACTGTCATTTTCAGACAGGAATAATATTAATTTGCAAGATATAATGAGTCTAATAATTAACCGTGATTACAAATACATGAATTATATAAGTTATACACTGAAAATTAATTGGTTTCTTCATAAGGAAAAGAATTAAAAGCGTTAGATGATATATCTTGTTTAGGAGTTAAATTCTTATTCTATGTGTCCAGCTTTACTTTTATATTCATAATTCAATCTCTGCATGGAGAGAAAATTTCACTCGTTCTGCAGACGCTTTCACTCAGATTTAGTTAGTTTCCTTTTTTAGGTATAAAATCAAATGGAACATCCAACCGGAGATGTCATTAGTTAAAGGGAAATTCAAAGGGGGAACGGGGTTGAATGTCCACAGCAGGGTCAGCAGGTTATCTGTTTTAAAGCTCTAATTGAGCACAAAAACAAACCTCTGTTCATAAAGCTGAGTGCTGAAGTGCTGTTGTAAGTATAAGGAAGAAAAAGAGAAAAGAATATTAACTTCCAAAGAGCTCCAAAGGACCTCAGGTGGACTATATCCCACATTTTTAAAGAGCAGCAGAGAACAGCGCCGATAAACTAGATGATTTATGTCACTCCATCAGTCAGTTTAGACGCCAACGTTTCATCATCTCTTGCACAATTATGCAGATTTTATTGCAATATTGAATTGATAAATCCTTTATAACACAATTCTAGGAATCCTCAGAGCTTTTTATTCTGAACACCATAAAAATGCTATATCATGTAAATAATCTATGCATTAATCAGCTACATGTTAACAGCCTTTTAGGGCCCTGAGGCTGATCATAAATCACTGACGACTTTTGACATCTTCTGATGTCAGACTGACCTCTTTCCTCCTGTCGTTCTCTCTCTGAATGAGCCAGCGAATGGACGCCTGAGGAGACTTTGGAACGCACTCCAGGAAGGTGGTGTTGTTTTTCACGCTGTACTGCGTTATCTCAGCAGCGTTCCTGTAGGCTGATGAGCAGACATATTCTCAGTCATATGAAAAGGCACATCAGACGTCACTGAGCTGACAGACAGGGAGCCTACAGAATGGCTCTTATAGGAGCGACTGTGAGACGTTGACATGAAGCTTAGCTTCACTCTTTAGTGGCTCATCGAAAGCAAACATGTTTTACACAAAATAATCGCTTCAAACCAACTCTGCTTCCATCCTGTTGTTCTGCTGGAGTTGAAATTCCTCAGTAAATCAGCTGGATGCATGAAGAGATAAGGACTAAATAGTGGCAATGCTAATATGGCATTGCTAATATACAGTGCTGTGGTGGAAAACAGGCAGGCAAATAAAAAAAAAATTAACTAAGAACCAAATTGAAGAGCAAGAATTTGTCAATTTAAGGATAACTAGCAATTAGGTTACATCTCTCTGTTTGTGCCTAAATGTGTGTAGAAAACCTTTAAATTTGAATACAACTGTTATTGGAGTAAGATGAATTCAAACTGGAGAGTCACGCCGAGAAAAGTTGCAATTAGAAAATATTTAATTTATTTATACAGGTAACAGAATCATATTACTCAAAATGTTTCTATCTGAGGAAAACCAGCTGACTGTATCGACTCATTGACTTTCTGCAATCCCTCACACTGAGCATGCTTGTAGCGACAGTGGAGAGAAAAACTCCCTTTTAACAAGAAGAAACCTCCAGCAGAACCAGGCTCAGTGTGAGCGGCCATCTGCTAAAACCGACTGGCGTTCAAGGAGACAGATGCAGATTAAGACATGAATTAAATAAGGTCTTTGGCGCTCGGGCCCTGGCAGAAGATTTTGATGCTGTGAATCAACACACATTTGGATGAGTAACCTAGGAAATTATTAGAGTAGTCTTCCCCAGGGGCATGGTTATTTGTGGTGGAAAAAGCCAGAGGATGAGCGGGACTGAGAATAATCTGAGGGAGATGGGGGGGTGGGGGTGGGTAAATGTTTGTTTGTGTGCAAAAGAGAGAAGCTAGAACAGGAGCTAAATGAAGGGGGTATTGTAAGATGATTGGCTTTGGAGACGGTATGACCACCGAGCTGATTGGCTGGAGCTGAACAAGGGATATTGCAGGTGGTTCAGGTGAAGCTGAACCACCTATCTTCCAGATTGAATTTACATTTAAGCTCCATCTCCCAGATCTTGTACATCCTCACCTAAAATCCTGTAGAGTCCTGATATCTATAAATTAAATCTCTCAGATGTGCAGTTTTCTCCTAATTTATAGTCCATACGTTTCCTTTTCCATTTAGGCCAAATATAAAATGGTTCACGTAGAAGTTTCGTTGCTTTGATCTTTTAAATTTGGGTCATCTTCTGTGGAAAAATTAACTTCAAGTTTGTTTATTTCAGACATACAAGTATATAATAAAGACAGTATATGTCCATATAACATAAATTAAAACAATCTGAAAAGGGTGTATTGGCAGAAGCAAGAAACTTTACAAAACTTACATTGGACTAGAAATCAAAGAAAAAAATAAATAGATGGCTACCGTTTATAATACATACCAATGTATGATTTTAGAAAAAAAATATTATTCTACAATAACTTTTTTTGTTTTTAACAAACCCAATGTCTTACTGATCTTAATTGACTTCACATATTTCATAATCTTTTATTAAATTTTTTTAAAATATGTTTTTAAACTGTGTTAAAGGAATAGTACACTCAAAACATGATTAGCCTTCATTTTCTACTCACCTCCATGCTGAACAACACTCTGGAGTACTTTTTTGATATCTCAAATGCATCTGGAGATCTGGGAGGCTTCTTGCTGTCTGCTGACATTCAAATAATGGAGGTCTATGGCGCCCGAGGCAGAAAGGTCCATAAAAGTTCACAAAAAACGTGTCAATATTCCTCCATACTGCTCGTCCAATGTATTCCAAGTGTCCTGAGTGGGTAGCGTCCAGAATCTACTCGAAACGAAGTCATTTAGAATGTTTTTAGAGCATAAACAGTAGTGTATAGGATTTCCTGAAAACGCGTTCATGACGCTACGGAAACCGCGGCAGACCAAACCAGATGAAAGTGCGCATTCAGCTCGGCAAAGAACTTATGCTCTTCCTCAACACTGAAGTCCTCAGACATTTTTTTTTCGTTGTTTCATTCTTTGCACAGGTAAACAGCACATTTCTTCTTCTACACTTGCATTATCGGCAGAGCAGACGCTGAATGCGCACTTTCATCTGGTTTGGTCTGCCGCGGTTTCCGTAGACTCGTGAACGCGCTTTTAGGAAATCCTATATACTACTGTTTATGCTCTAAAAACATTCTAAATGACTTCGTTTCGAGTAAATTATGGACGCTACCCATTCAGGACACTTGGAATACATTGGATGAGCAGTATGGAGGAATATTGACACGTTTTTTGTGGACTTTTATGGACCTTTCTGCCTCGGGCGCCATAGACCTCCATTATTTGAATGTCAGCAGACAGCAAGAAGCCTCCCAGATCTCCAGATGCATTTGAGATATCAAAAAAGTACTCCAGAGTGTTGTTCAGCATGGGGGTGAGTAGAAAATGAAGGCTAATCATGTTTTGGGTGTACTATTCCTTTAATGTTATACAATCATTTAGCTCCTGATCTAATTTGTTCCATACATCAACCCCAATAAAACTAAACATTTTATACCCTCTCAGATCATAAGCACTTTTAACTTTGACTGCCACAGTTAATCAGCTTAGAATTTAAAATATCCTAGTTTAGAGAGTTGATGGTGCAATGAAAACCATCCACATCCATTTGAACATTAGCAGACCCACGGCATCATGGATGCCTACCCTACATAAAGGTTCTGACGTGCTTTTAATCATTTATCTTTTGTTTGAACCTGGACACGTTTGGATCGCTCACCTTGTTTTATTTTTTCCTTAAAAATAAAACAAGGTTAAATCTCCTTAAATCTCAGCCTCATATGACCAAACCCCACAGTTGGAGTTCATTTCCCTTCAGAATACAGTAAACTCTTGACTTTTAAGCTTGTTGAGGTAGAACCAAACATATGGAGCAAATTTTGCTGCATTCTTTTTGAAATAAATATTTGAAAAAAATGCTATTTGGGAAAACAGCAGAGTTACTCTGAAAACCTTTTTTTCTTCAAAGATTAATTTATGGAATGCATTTTTTTCAACCAAATTTCCTTTTACAAAACATGTTTGTAACAATAATGGAACAAAATGTCCTCCATATAAAGTTTTAAAGTTTCACAAAGTGAATTTTCGATTTCCAAGATAAGCAATACACTGGAAAAATTATCTAGAAATAAGTAAACGTTTCTTAAATTAAGTGTATTTACCCTTATTTTGAGTAGGTAAATGAGGTAGTTTGCCAGTGGAATGAGTATTTTTACTCTTAAAATAAAAATATTTATATAAAATGCACTTGAAAAAAGACAATGCAATTGCGTTTTCTTATTATAAATGTAAATTGCCTTGTTCTATTGGCAAAATGTCTCTTTTAGCTCCTCAATCCAAGTACAAATGCACTTATTGAAAAAAAAGACTTGTCTAGATTTTGATTTTTTTCCAGTGTAGCAATCACCCAGAAGGTTTTTCACAGATCTAGTTACTATAAACTTTATTTTGCCCTTATTGTAGATTAAAGGAACTTTATCTTTACAAATTGATGATTAAACTTCGTCATCTAGAAGTAAATAATCACTCGTCTGTCCAATTTTGAACAGGAGCTTTGAAGAATAGATCTATATGATCCTGCCTCTAACATATTCTTAAGAAAATGGAGGTAATGAATTTATAGATCAAATATTTTTAGCATAAAGACTTTTATTTTAGATAAACTGCTGGGAGCTAATAGGTGTGGCACAAGATTTTTCTTCTGTAATCAATAATTAAACACTACATCTAATAAAAATGTATATTTATGTAATATTACAGATCATTTTCAACATAAATAGTAGTATTTTTTTACTGGAGGTACCAATAATAATGCAATGATTATTTATAAATGAGCAAAGACTTTTTATGAGTTGATTTTGTTCTTTTTAATTAGCAGCAACAGAATTAAGATGTAATCCATGTTTTAAAGTGACTTTAGATCAACTGCTTTAATACCTTTTAAATTGAAACCTCTGCATTGAGTGAGTGGATTTCCGTGCATTATATCCTGCCTCCTGCTTCTCCTTAAAAAAAAAAAAAGAAAACAGAAAAAACACAGTAAGAATAAAGCACATAAATCCATGACAAAATACACAGTAATAAGAATCCTTCCGTTCTGTTTAAGACGGTTTTGGTGCGAAAGCCGTGTGCACTCATATGCAACAGCTTGGAGGAAGGGGCATGTAAACAGCTGACACATTTCAGAGCAGTTTGAGCCGAAAAACAGAAATTCTGCCTTTTGTTCTGGGACCAAACTAAACTTAACCCGCCTCCGACCCAATCATCTGGAGACCAGCAGCCGGAGCTCAAAGAGACTGCAGACGTTTCCGTTTAAAGGAGAGGTGTCGTTCATTTCTGCTCGTCTGAGTTTTGTTTTGATGGGAAAGGAGGGGAAACAAATGGAATTTGTGACATGGCTCACACTCAAATGGATCCCAGTCATGTGGACAGCTTGTTCCATTCTCTGCTGAATGGAGCATGCATCAGCTGCTGAACCCAATCTGGTCTGCTCCTTGATTTAATTAATGTTGTAACTTATTAATTACGACACTCAAATAGGAGAAAGACAAAAAAAATAAAATAAAAACACTTTGCAGGACTATTCACTGCAAAAACGATCTAGAAATAAGTAAAAATTTCTTAAATTAAGTGTATTTACCCTTAATTTGAGTAGGTAAATGAGATAGTTTGCCAATGGAATGAGTAATTTTACTCTTAAAATAAGATAATTAGATCATATGCACTTGAATAAGACAATGCAATTGTGTTTTCTTATTTTAAGTGTAAATTGTCTTGTTCCATTGGCAAAATGTTTCTTTTACCTCCTCAATTCAAGAACAAATGCACCTATTTTAAGAAAAAATTACTTATATAGATTTAGATTTTTTGCAGTGTTCACACCACTTAATCTATAGATAAAATCACAGACTTTTTCTTTTTCTTTTATTAAGATGAGTTAAAACCTTAATCAAAAAGACACCCTGATTGTTGCTTAGCAGCATTATGCTGTGGGGGTTATTTTGGTTTCAGCAAGGGTAGTAAAAATAGAGTTGATGGGAAAACTGCGGGTCTCTACACTGCAAAAAAATTAACACCTTGATAAGTCATTCTTTCTTAAAATAAGTGCATTTGTTCTTGAATTGAGGAGATAAAAAGATACATCTTGCCAATGGAACAAGACAATTTAGATTTAAAATAAGAAAACACAATTGCATTGTTTATTTCAAGTGAATATTATCTAATTATCTTATTTTAAGAGTAAAAATACTGATTCAATTGGCAAACTATCTCATTTACCTACTCAATTTAAGGGCAAATACACTTAATTTAAGAAATTTGCACTCATTTCTAGATCGTTTTTTGGATTTGATCAGAAAATGGACTTAACTGGAAAAAATCGAAATCTAGATAAGTCATATTTTCTTAAAATAAGTGCATTTGTTCTTGAATTGAGGAGGTAAAAGAGACATTTTGCCAATGGAACAAGACAATTTACACTTAAAATAAGAAAACACAATTGCATTGCCTTAGTTCAAGTGCATTTGATCTAATTATCTTATTTTAAGAGTAAAAATACTGATTCCATTGGCAAACTATCTCATTTACCTACTCAAATCAAGGGTTTGCACTTATTTCTAGATTGTTTTTTGGATTCAATCAGAAAATGGGCTGAAATTATGTCACAAATTCATGTGTAGTTAGAAAAAAACCCACATCAAAAGCATTTACTAATTTCTTTCTTCAGAATTTTGCAGGAAATTGCATCACTCTAACCCAGCTGGGAACAAAATATAGAAAAGAGGAAGGAGTGTATTTGGAAGGAATTTTCTTCACTGGAAAAACAATCTAGAAATGTGTGATAATTTCTTAAGTTAAGTGTATTTACCCTTAATTTGAGTAGGTAAATGAGGTAGTTTGCCAAGGGAATGATTATTTTTACTCTTAAAATAAGATGTTTAGATAAAATGCACTTGAAATAAGACAATTCAATTGTGTTTTCTTATTTTAAATGTAAACTGTCTTGTTCCATTTGCAAAATGTCTCTTATACCTCCTCAATCCAAGAACAAAGGCACTTATTGTAAGAAAAAATTACTTATCTAGATTTAGATTTTTTCCAGTGTTGCATTAATGCAAGGTGCTATGAGCCAGAAATTTCAAATAAAGAAACAGTAAAATCATATGTGCAAAAATATGGAGACAAAAATATTGCGATAACTTTAAATGTTCCAAAGCGAATCTCGGTGCAGAAGAAATGCTCCATCTTCAACTAGACGCTTACACAGCTAAAGTTCAGCCTCCATCTGCCTCTGCATCATCAGCTTCCTGACAGCAGCAGCAGCAGCTGGTAAGGCTGGAGGAGCATCACCATCTCATCTCAAGTCAGAAAATATGAAAAGTGTCTCTTTTTTGACATATTTTTAGATTTCTTTCATGGGTAGATCATATAAACCTGCAGACCCTAAAGCTTGAATAGCCGTCTACCTTTTCCCGGTGGGATAGAAGCGAGAGCAACTGAGTCCATCCCAGGCGCAGTAGGGGTCTCTGGCGAGGCAGCAATCGGCGCAGGCCGAGCCGTAGGCGTCACAACGGTGCAGGGAGACCTGCGAGACCCCGAAGTCCGAGCTGACGTACAGCTGTTGCTGCAAAAGCAAACAGTTCAAATGTCAGTCCCTTGTTTGTCTTAATAAGTGGTCGGCTGACAGGAAAAATGAGGCGTAGTGCCCAAAAAGTTACTTCCTCTGCCTCTGGGATCTCCCCAGGAGATTTTATTTTTTTTTTTTTCCTCATTACACATGTCTTTAGACAACAAATAATGTTTCAACCAATGTAACTTGTCCAGTAATGAAAGGAGAAACGGTTCAGGATGCTTACTTTTTTTGGAGAGATTCTCAAATTTGTAACAGGAGCTTGATTCTGGAAGAAGAGCAAACAGCAGAGAAGTGAAATTTGCTGGAAAACATTAATCTTAATGTCTTTTAACAAACCTGCTGCTGCACTGGAAAGAATTGACATCTAGATAATACATTTTTTCTTAAAATAAGTGCATTTTTTCTTGAATTGAGGAGATAAAAGAGACATTTTGCCAATGGAACAAGACAATTTACACTTAAAATAAGAAAACACAATTGCATTTTTGTATTTTAAGTGTATATTATCTCATTATCTTATTTTAAGAGTAAAAATGCCGATTCCATTGGCAAACTATCTCATTTACCTACTCAAATTAAGGGTAAATACACTTATATTAAGACATTTTTACTTATTTCTAGATCGTTTTTCCAGTGTGCACATTATTTGGCTCTTATCAAAATTAAAAAGTTACATTGCAAAAAATGTAAATCTAATTAAGTCACTTTTTCTTAAAATAAGTCAATTTTTTCTTGAATTGAGGGGGTAAGTGAGACATTTTGCCAATGAAACAAGATAATTTCCACTTGAAATAAGAAAAAAGAACTGCATTGTCTTATTTCAAGTGCATATTATCTAATTAACGTATTCCAAGAGTAAAAATACTTATTTTATTGGCATACGATCTTAATTTCCTGCTTTAAATTAAGAGTAAATTCACTTAATTTAAGACATTTTCACTTATTTCTAGATCATTTTTGCAGTGTATATTAAAAAATTTTAAATAATGCATATTGTTTTAAGACATTATTTCTAATCTTCAGAGTTCAGCATGCTCATTTCAAGATTTAAAACTTTTAAATCAAATAAAATGATTGCATGGACAGATGATTTCAGTTGGTTTCAGTAGTTTTTACTGTGTTTTAGTTTAGTTCTTTTTTATTTTAGACACCTATTTTTTTGCAGTGTGTTGCTTTAAACTATTAGCAGTCCTTGGAAAAATACATTTCCACTGCTAAGATCATTTTAGTATAACAACAGAAGTGGAAACTTCCTCTAAAATAAACTTCTCCACGCCTCTTTAAAGAAATATTGATCATTGAGGATTCCACAGACTGCTGCCGTCCAGGTGCTGTTTGGGAATCAAAGGAGCTGGGAGCGCCTGGATGTGATCAGATCAGACAGCGATCGGAATTTAAGAGATTTCAATAAAACATGTAAAAAAAAAAAAGGTCACGCAGGGTAACAGCCAGACTTCTACATCTGCCGGTCTGTTCTGCATCAGCCTCAGTGTCAAACTGTTTCTGTATCTGCACATTTTTTTAGATTTTCACAAGAGACACAAAAAAAGGAGGAATTCAGACCTTAAACACTTCCAGCTCCTCCAGGATCAGATCTTCATGCAGCGATTGGTTACTTGGCAGCACAATCACCTTCTGTATTGTCCCTTTGTCTGACAGCGGAGAGAGAAGCAATTAGATGCATCGAAATGTAAATCAAGGATTTTAACAAGTAGGAACCCTGAAAATAAGAAAGAAATCTCATAATCTGGCTTCAGAGGTAAAGGACAACATATATGCATCAGCCCAATACCAGGGGTGGAAAGAAACGAATTACATTTACTCATGTTACTGTAATTGAGTACTTTTTATGAGTAATTTGTAATTTTCTGAGTAGTTTTGGAAATATGTACTTTTTACTTTTACTTGAGTAAATTTTAACCTAAGTAGTTTTACTTTCGCTACATTTAAAACCCCCTCACGTTACTGAGTAAAAAAAAATAATAAAAAAAAAATACTGATGGTGACAAAATTAAATGCGGCCAGTAATTTAAACCCCTGTGTTACGGATCCGACACTTAATCGCCATTAAAAAATAGAAGAAGACTTTTGACCTTTAACAGCACTTTATTTACACAATTCAAACATATAAACAATTGATGTAAAAACAAGTGTCAGTTAAAAATCACTATTAAAGTAAAACAAGTTTCAGTTAAAATCATTAAATGAGAAGCTTGTTAATAACAGTGGCATCCTGTAGCGTTTTAGTTTGATTTCTGGTATCTTTTGGGCATTTTGAAAACTTTAAAATGTAGTTTAAATTTCTTTTTTCCTATCATGGTGTTGTCTGTTAGACAGTATGACTGAAAATTGTTTGCACTTTATGGTACATGTTGTGACTGTCCTTGTGCTGTGAGGAAGTATGTTCTTTAGCCCAGCTGATCTTTTGCAAGTGTGGATGTCCACTGAAATACGCCTTGAAATCGATTAAAACACCTTGTGCTCAATTCGATTCATGACTCATCGTTTTTTTATGGTGGCCCTGAAGTGCAAACTGCAACTACAAATCTAAAAGCGCAACTACATTAAGGAAATCGCAACTACATAAAGCAAAGCGCAACTACATTAAGGAAAACACAATTACATTAACCTACCGGAAAAGGTAGGTACCAGTGGGAAACATGAGACATCGCTGATTGGACGACGGGGCCGTTTGACCCTTGAACCGGAAGTCATTCTGCCTGCTGCGACTTTTGAAAACATGGATATTGTCGGCGCCCCAAACATAGCTGCCGTTATCCAGGAATATTTTGAATCAGGACATACGTACGAGGTGATACTGGATATGCTCAAGACTAATCATGAAATTTCAGTTAGTTTGCGTACACTGAAGACACACTTAAAAGAAGCTGGACTGTTCAGACGACGCAACTTCCGGTTCAAGGGTCAAACGGCGCCGCTGTCCAATCACCGATGTCTCATGTTTCCCACTGGTACCTACCTTTTCCGGTAGGTTAATGTAATTGTGTTTTCCTTAATGTAGTTGCGCTTTGCTTTATGTAGTTTTGTTTTTCTTAATTTAGTTGCGCTTTGCTTTATGTAGTTGCGATGTTGCGATTTCCTTAATGTAGTTGGGCTTTGCTTTATGTAGTTGCGATTTCCTTAATGTAGTTGGGCTTTGCTTTTATGTAGTTTTGTTTTTCTTAATGTAGTTGCGATTTCCTTAATGTAGTTGCGGTTTGCTTCATGTAGTTGCGATTTCCTTAATGTAGTTGCGCTTTGCTTCATGTAGTTGCGATTTCCTTAATGTAGTTGCGCTTTGCTTTATGTAGTTTTGTTTTTCTCAATGTAGTTGCGCTTTGCTTCATGTAGTTGCGATTTTCTTAATGTAGTTGCGCTTTGCTTTATGTAGTTTTGTTTTTCTTAATGTAGTTGCGCTTTGCTTTATGTAGTTTTGTTTTTCTTAATGTAGTTGCACTTTTAGATTTGTAGTTGCAGTTTGCACTTCAGGGCCACCGTATTTTTTGCATTAAATAACTCAAAGTAACTAAGTAACTTTTACTCAAATTACATTTTAAATGAAGTAATTTTGTACTTTTACTTGAGTAAATTTTGATGGGTAATTTTACTTTTACTCTGAGTAGAATTTAGGCAAAGTATAGATACTTTTACTCAATTACAATTTTTTAGTACTCTTTCCACCTCTGCTCAATACTCCCAGCACTGCCGCCATCTTTATAATCATCTGTGGTGTCAGGATCTGGAACAAGAAGGCGAGGAGGAGTAAAAGAAACAGCTCTTGCTAACAGCTGATAAGAACATCTCCCACATCCCTGAGTCAGAGCGCGGCTCCAGGAGCAGATAAGGTTACATGATGCTGGCTTCTCCTCAGGAATCCAAGCAGGAGCAACAAACAGGAGGGAGGAGGCGCTGGATAAACACCAGCAGCTGCATGTTTAATCCAAACCTGCACATCCTGAAACCCTCAGAAATAAACCAACCATATGTACCGCATGTAAATACAAGTGAGGTACTTGAGGAATCATAATAGTCTCTACATTACACTGGAAAAAAATCGAAATCTAGATGAGTAATTATTACTTAAATTAAGTGCATTTGTTCCTTGATAGAGGAGGTAAAAGTGACATTTTGCCAATGGAACAAGACAATTTAATCTAATTATCTTATTTTAAGAGAAAAAAAATACTCATTCCATTGGCAAACTATCTCATTTACCTACTCAAATTTAGGGTAAATATACTTAATTTAAGGAACTTTTTACTTATTTCTAGATTGTTTTTCCAGTGTAGTAAAGACCTCCACTGCAAAAAAATTTAATCTCAATAAGTAACTTTCTTAAAATAAGTGGATTTTTTCTTGAATTGAGGAGGTAAGTGAGACACTTTGCCAATAGAACAAGACAATTTACATTTAAAATAAGAAAAAACAATTGCTTTGTCTTATTCCAAGTGCATATTGTCTAACTATGTTATTTTAAGAGTAAAAATACTCATTCCATTGGCAAACAGTCTTATTTACCTGCTCAAATTAAGGCTAAATACACTTAATTTAAGAAATTTGTACGTATTTCTAGATTGTTTTTGCAGTGTCATAATCATTTGCTTGTGGTCCTTTGGGCCCACGCACTGCTGCAGAGCACCTGAGATAAAAGACCTGAGGGGATTTATCATTTTCTTCATGTCTCGTTTTCTTTTTTTATTCTGAGCTTCATCTATTTCATCTTTTTTCCCTTAAGCTTGTGTCACTTTACATTTTCTATGCAGCCTTTTGAGTCATCTCAGCCCTCTCAATAATGACTCATTATGAATCATTTTGAATATTGATGTGTTCACCAATAGTGATCTTCACAATCTGGAAGGTTTCTGAGCCATCTACACTTTTTCTACTCATCTGCCATGTAAGTAATATGTAAATCTGAAGCTTTTATTCATTTGCTTTTGCAAAATACTTATATGATCTATTGAAACCGTTATGAAATGATTAAGTTTACCCTTTGTAAATATGTGCATGATAAAAACCTTACTGAAGTCTATAAAGTTTAGTACATCTTTATCTTTTTGTGAAACCACACAGAAACATGTGTCCAGATGAACTGCACTGGAAAAAATCAAAATCTAGACGAGTCATTTTTTTCTTAAAATAAGTGCATTTGCTCTTGGATTAAGGTAGTAAAAGAGACATCTTGCCAATGGAACAAGACAATTTACACTTAGAATAAGAAAACAGAATAGCATTGTTTAATTTCAAGTGCATATTATCTAATTATCTTATTTATCAGAGTGAAAATACTAATTTCATTGACAAACTATTTCATTTACCTACTCAAATTAAGGGGAAATACACTTAATTTAAGACATTTTTACTTATTTCTAGATCGTTTTTCCAGTGTGGAGGTCATTCACCAAATTCTTTTCATGTTTGCATCGACTGTAGATTGAAGGATGTTTATGCACTGCAAAAAATTGAGATCTAAGTAAGTTTATTTTTCTTTAAAAAAAATAGCATTTCTTTCTTGAATTAAGCAGTTAAGTGATACACTTTGCCAATGGGATAAGGCAATTTACATCTAAAATAAGAAAAAACAATTGCGTCGTCTTATTCCAAGTGGATATTATCTAGTTATCTTATTTTAAGAGTAAAAATTCTCATTCCATTGGCAAATCTTATTATTTACTTGCTTGAATTATGCTAAATACACTAATTTTTAGACATTTTTACTGGTTTCCAGATCGTTTTTGCAGTGTATGATCTATTGAAACTGTTATGAATTTGTCTTTAAATGATTAAGTTTACCCTTTGTAAATATGTGCATGCTAAAAACCTTACTGAAGTCTATAAAGTTTAGTACATCTTTATCTTTTTGTGAAACCACACAGAACCATATGTCCAGATGAACTGGAGGTCATTCACCAAATTCTTTTCATGTTTGCATCGACTGTAGATTGAAGGATCTTTATGCACTGCAAAAAATTGAAATCTAAGTAAGTTCATTTTTCTTTAAAAAAAGAGCATTTCTTTCTTGAATTAAGCAGTTAAGTGATACACTTTGCCAATGGAATAAGGCAATTTACATCTAAAATAAAGTGGATATTATCTAATTATCTTATTTTAAGAGTAAAAATACTAATTCCATTGGCAAATCTTATTATTTACTTGCTTGAATTATGCTAAATACACTAATTATAAGACATTTTTACTCGTTTCCAGATCGTTTTTGCAGTGTGTGAACATTTACTTCGCTGCAGCCAATCAAAGTGGTTTAATATGTGTATTTTGTGCCTTTCTTTAGGTGATGGAGTTTGGTTAAAAGTTGAAAATAAATGTAAATTTTTTTCTTTAATTTGTGAGAAAACCCTTTTATTCTGAGCCAGCAAAGCTAATCTTTCAGTATAGGAGACAGCATCCTTATTAGAATCCTTGCAAAAAAAAAAAAAAAAAAAATCTTAATTTAGACTTTTCTCACTCTTTTCAATATAAATCAAAGGTTTACAACATGTTTAATGTAAAGTAAAGTTAGGTAAAAAAAAAAAAAAGCATTTTACTATTTAGATATAGAATCCCTCTTCAGATATCTTTTTGTTTCTAAAATGTTTACTTTAATAAATATTATGTAATTATCTCATTTTAAGAGTAAAAATACTAATTAAAATGGCAAATCTTATTTATTTGCTTGAATTATGCTAAATACACTAATTTTAAGACATTTTTACTCGTTTCCAGATCGTTTTTTGCAGTGTGTGAACATTTACTTCGCTGCAGCCGTTTCATATTTGAAGAAAATCTACATCATTGACGCTGATAGTCACATGTTCTCTTGTTCTTCCTTTCCTTAGATATGAGAGTGAGAAATTCATCTCCACTGAGGCGTATTCATCCCCTCGAGAAACAAGAAATCACACACTTATGATGAATAATTCCTAGAAATCGTTTTTTTCCCCCATGTTCAGTAAAATCTGAGATTCTGCTGCTAATATAATCTTAAATCAGAAGGGTGTGAAGGAAGATGGAAGGGGTTCATCCTATAGCTACATTAATAAAAGGTTTATTTGCACAAGTTTTATTCACTTTTAATCTAACCAATCTGGACCTTTCTGCTCTGGGCTGTTTTATGTCTATTTATGAGGTCATGCAATGTGCACTTTGAGCAAAATTAAGAACAGGTACAGGTAATCAGTTTACATCACATATTCCTCAAATGGATGCAGTGATTTGAGCTTTCGTCCTTGTGTTATCAGTTTCGCTGCAACACCCTCTGCATGCAATAATCTGTGATATCCGCTTATCTGATAACCGTCTGTTGCAACAGGACTCTACTTAGAAACCATAAAACATCTTAGAGATAGGAGAATAAAAGCTGCTGCATCACTCTTAGTTGCCCAGTTATATGGGTATAAAGTTGAAGGAAAATGCTTTAGTTACAAATTCAGGAATAAAAGAAAGGAAAAAAAGTTTTACTTATTAATGATTCCACTTATAAATTATTTGCAGGTAGGATTTTTTTAAAGCTTTAATCAGTGGGATTCAGAGCACATGCTTTTTTTAGATGCATAAGAGTCCAAATTTAAGATTTATTCATTATTTATAACAACTTTTGAATAAACCGTATGTTAAAACAAAGTGTGTTTAGTATAGAATAGAATTCAACTTTATTTTCATTGCACTGTTACGAGTACCAAGCAAAGAAATGTGGTTTGCATCTATCCAGAAGTGCTATACAGGATATACATATTATTACAGGTGTATGTACAAGAAGTAATAGTTAGGGACTGTAAAAAGTTATTTTCTAAGTATAAATATGAATATGGGAGCTACATGCACAGATTATATAGATTATACAAATTTTTAATGGGGAAGAAATTCATTTTTTTATGCTAGAGGGAGTTCAGTAGATTTATTGGCAGAAGAAAGACAACTGAGTGTTTTTAAATTTGAAAACAATATATTTTCTTTCAGGTTTGCCGTAAACTAGATGATTTTTAATGAACTGAGTTTTATTTAAGTATCCAAGCTGGATATTTTTTTTTATTTAATCTGGATTTTAGAGAAATATTCGTAGGAATATAATCTTGGTTTAATCAAAAGATGGTTACAGATATGTCAGCATCTGTTCCATCTGCGGGTCACCCGTACCTGTGCCCAGGAACAGCACCTGGTAGTTGCCGTCTGCAGCCATGACCTGGTCCACGGCCACAGAGGTGTATCTGTAGGCAGCTCCGGTACGAACCACCAGGGGTCTCCTTCCCACCGGGTAGATGGCGTTAAACATGACAGGATGATTTCGTACAAAGTTCACCACATCATCTGGGAATTCCTTTGTTGTGTGTATGTCAGGTGTAAAGGCTCCTCCGGGACACTAGAGAGGCAGAGATAACATCCTGCTCAGGTTCAAAGCTCTTAAAGATCAAACTCTGTCACCGTCATAACTGATGGTTAGAAAGCAAATCTTCCAATATATGGTTTAGTTTCCCTCTAATATGCACATCATAATTTTCTCCACTCTATAAGGATATTATTTCAGTTTGATTAATTGACAGCTTCAGTAAACCACCTTTCTATAATCTCTTTACTGTAATGCTGCAAGATTGATTTGATTTCTTATACGAGGAGAGGGAAACCCTCTGAAAAAGGCATAAAAGTTAAATCCTTACATAACTTCCTCATTTTGAATTTTTTAAAAGCTAACAGAACCCCACCTTTAAAGTCTTATATGGGTTTTAAGAAAAAGTTATCCTTAGTTGATTTGACATCTGACTGGCTTTATTATTTTAATTATGTAAAATTTTTCCTCACAATATGATTATGATTAACTTTGTTTTAACAACAAAAACTCCTTTTATAAAACTAGACACACCAATTCCATAAAGTGGATCTAATTAGCAACGTTCCCCCCCAACCGACTGTTTTTTTAATAATTGTTCATAAGAAAACTATTAAAAATCTGCGAAAGTAATAGGTTGAAATCATAAGTGTAATTGAGTTATTTGATCATGTCTATACTGTATACATTTGTGTTTTATTTTACATTACAAAGTCCTCCTTCACTCCTACGCTGGAAAAACTATCTAGAAATAAGTAAAATTTTTTTAGATTAAGTGTATTTACCCATAATTTGAGTAGGTCAATGAGATAGTTTGCCAATGGAATGAGTATTTTTACTCTTAAAATAAGATAATTAGATAATATGCACTTGAAATAAGACAATTCAATTATGTTTTCTTATTTTAAATGTAAATTATCTTGTTCCATTGGCAAAATGTCTCTTTTAGCTCCTCAGTCCAAGAACAAATACACTTATTTTAAGAAAAAATGACTTATCTAGATTTAGATTTTTCCAGTGTAAAGCTTTAAATTATCAAGTAATTAAACTTTTTTCTTAATTGCACCAACAATATGTTTTAGAGCAAAGAAAAAGAGACGAAGACTAACTTACTGTTCCTGGTCTCGGGTAGGGAATGCGCCCCTGGAAGGCCACCCACTGGTAGTTGGGCCCCTCTCTGTGAGCGAAGGGCCCGTTGAACACGGTGAGGATGTCTGCCATGCTGTATACGCACACAGCCGACCCTCTGAACACGGAGCTGGGGGAGTAAAATGCACGTATGAAATTAAAACTCCACAGCAGGAACTTCGACTGATGTCTCGGGGACCCTTTTGGTAAAGAAATCTCCCGCTGTTCTTCATTTAAGAACGCCGTCTCTGAGGATGCGTGAGCTAAAAAAACATCTGAAAGGAAGAGTTGTCAAACGCCATTGAGGCAGGTCGTCTAGTTCCCCTTAAATGTATGATGTGGTTTGGCTCAGGCATTTTAAAAAAGCACAGAATAAAACATAAAAGATGTTTTTGTTGGGCAAAGAAACGAAATCTCACTGTGCAAAGCAGAGACGGAGGGAGAAGCACTAGAAGCTATACTGGGTTCAGACAGACTAATTGAGCACAGTTTGGTTTTTTTCACTACTTTAAACTTTCAATGATCCTGAAGTAACAAATGAAAACGAGGTAATGTAACACAGGGCTAAGACGACAATGAGAAATACGGATCTGGACAAGTAGATCGAACTGACTTTTGAGGCTGAATCAAAGTGGTTTAATGTGTGTATTTTGTGTCTTTCTTTAGGTGATGGAGTTTGGTTAAAAGTTGAAAAAAAAGAGAAAAATTTTGTCTTTAATTTGTCTGTAATTGCATGAGAAAACCCTTTTATTCTGAGCCAGCAAAGCTAATCTTTCAGTATAGGAGACAGCATCCTTATTAGACTCCTTGCAAAAAAAATAATCTTAATTTTGACTATGCTGATGAAGATTCTCAGTCATCCAGGTCATAGTAATTCCGTAAAAAATTCAAAAATAACCACTGGACTTGGTTTCCAAGATTTGAAGACGTTTCACCACCTCTCCAGGAAGCTTTCTCAATACAAATGTCAAATAAATTTGACTTTTCTCCCTCTTTTCAAAATGAATTAAAAGTTTACAAAATGTTTAGTGTAAAGTAAAGTTAGGTTAAAAAAAAAAAGAACATTCTACCATATCTTTTTGTTTCTAAACTGTAAAAGTCGTAGTCAAATGTTAGTCTTGTTCCAAAATAAAACAAAGTTTTTCTCCATGAAGAATCATAGAGGATTGTAAATGACATATTTTCTGCCACATTCTGCTAAAAGGTAAAACAGGGCGATTAAATGTCATGTTTTTCAATAAAACTAACGTTCATCTTGTTATCCATACCAAAATAACAGAACCACAGAGGCCTGCAGTGATGCTCACATGGCTTTGCCAGACTCACCTTGTGGATGTGAAGACTCCAAACACCAGCAAGCCTTTGGGCTGATCCGTTTCCAGCAAAAACACATTCTCTGTAAGGGAAAACAGATGCACATTTCCAAATTCAACTCCTGCAGCATGTTTCCCTCCTCGCCCTTCAAGTCACCAACCAGGTCTGAATGCAGCCAGCGAACGCTTTCATGATTTGACATGCAGTGAACAGCCAATATGCTCAGATAAAAAAAGCAAAAGGTCAGCAAAGAAAAATGTTTTTCCAATATCTGACTGTATTAAACCACAATCCAGATTAAATACTGAATATTCTGTGGGGTGTTTATGGAAAAAAGAAATCTCTTGGAAACCTTAAAACATTCAAGTCAAGCTTTTCAAAGCAGTTCTTGGCGGAAAACTTTCCAAACTATGAAGGATGTCTGAGCTTTTCCTGCAGCCTGTGTATGAAAACACGAAGCTGGGAGAGCAACAAAACTAATAAAGAACATGAAGTGCGTCCTTTTTACCCACCAAGTTCATCAAAGTGTGTTTCCGTGCCGTCCTCCTCCAGGACTGAACACACCATTCTGGCTTTCAGGAAGGTGGTCCACTTGTTCACGAGGCTGCGCTGCCCTCCAGTGTCGTTCTGAACACCAAAAGCTACATTTGAAAACTCAGAGCCATAAATCAGAGCATCGATTGAAGCAGGTAGAAATGCAAAGGCACTTACAGGACACACTCGGGCAACCATGGTGTGGATGTTTTTGGTGTTTCCATCATTATCTGTCAACCTCTCACGGAAGAAAAAATACAATTTGGCATCATTTGGGTCAGTTCCGTCTGGGATAAGATGAGCATCAATGAAAATGGGTTCTGAAAGAAAAAAAAAGAAGAATTAGAGAGATTTGGATCATTTTACACGACTAAAAGGAAGAAAAACACTTCAGTTCTCACCACTAAGCCACTTGGAGTTGTGCTGATCTGTTCGAACTGCATTTCTCTTGGTCAGGCTCCTGAAGATGGCAGCATCTGTCCCCATAAAGTCGATGTACATGCCTGAGAACAGCTCCTGATCTGCAGAAATCCACACAGGCACCAGGTTATTCTGACCCATTTTGAAAGGTAGAATACAAAGAAAAAAGAGATATGCAGAATAAAATATACTAAACTGCAAAAAATGGAAATCAAAGTAAGTCATTTTTTCTCCAATTGAGGATGAAAGTGAGACACTTTGCCAATGGAACAAGACAATTTACATTTAAAATAAGAAAAAACAATCGCATTGTCTTAGTTCAAGTTCATATTATCTAATTATCTTATTTTAAGAGTAAAGATACTAATTTCATTGGCACATCATTGTATTTACCTACTCAAATTAAGGGTAAATACACTTAATTTAAGACATCTTTACTTATTTCTAGATCGTTTTTGCAGAGTAATATTAGTGTCTATAAATAAAAAAATTAACATTTAACAGGAAGTTTATGCACCTGAATGAGATCAAGTGCAACTGATGAATGTTTTTTAAGAATAAATTCTAACGTTCACATTTTCTAAAGGATTTAAGTGAAGAAAAAGCATCCAGGACCAAAAGAAACATATCAAACAGGTCAAAGAGCAGGATATTAAACATTACCCGAAGCTTTAAATTATTTGTCTTAAAAGGAAAGTAATAAGATTGATTGTTTAATTGATTGACTTTAATGACTTTATTGATCTCACAGTGGAGAAATTTACTTGTTACATCAGCTCAAGAAGTCAAAAAATTAATAACAATGTGCCAAAGGGAAAAAAGGTGCATGGGATTTATACAGCATATAAAGTGCGTCCACATATGACAGATTTTTTTTTTTTTTGGCAGGATTTTTATACAGGGTTATTGCACAGGGTGTTTACATCTGTATATATATATAAATTGTCACAGTCTTGGTTTTGTTATGTTTATTTAGAGTATTCAGTTTTACTTTGCTCCTTGTTTTAGTGTTTAATTATTATTTTGTTGTTTTCTTGTTAGTTCCTGTCTTCCAGGTTTTCCATTTGTTGTCCTCTGCTGCCCTCTTGTGTCCTCTTTCCCTAGCTCTGTTTTCTGCTCTGTCCTCACCTGTTTCCAATCCTCTTGTTAGCCCTCTCTTTGTCTCTGTCCCCTTTAAAAGCCTCCCTCTTCAGTTCTTGTTTGCTGGATCCTCGTCTAACGTCTCTCTGCTTACCTCGTCTCTCCCTGGCTCCTAGAGTTTGGTTTCCCCTGATGTCTCCTTGGTTCTGGTTTGTTTGTTATTTTTTGTTGGATTTTTTGATTCCTGCCTCTGTACCTGTGGACCTTATTAAACCCACCTAAATTCACCTCTGCCTACTTGCCTCTGCTTTTGGGTCCTCAATCCAACACCAGATTGTGACAGAAATTGATATTTATATATATAGCTATTGCACTGGGTATCAAATATAAAGAAACAGGTTATTGCACAGGGTTTCAAATAGTAATTGCACATTATTGCAATAGGTCAGTTAAAATCAAAGTCATAGTTGAAATAAATCTGTTAAACTTTGTCAAGCAATAGGTAAGGAAGGTGTTCTAATCCAGTCTTTAAGGGCTGCTGTTATACAACTTCAGATGTCTCTCTGGTCCGACACAACTGAATTAAACGCCTAAACTACATCCTAGTCATGTCGTCCAGTTCTTTAGAGTCCTATGAATGACCTTATAATGTGATCCAGGGATGCAAAAGCTGAGAAACTCCTTAAAGTCCATAAGGACTGAAGTTTGGCACCAGTGATGTATGGCAGTGGTTTTCAAACTCAGTGATCAGTATCTACTGTCCTGCATGTATAGGTTTTCTTCACTTCCACACACGTGACTGAAGTAAATTGTTGATTAATAGGCGTCTGCAGCCCGTCATGGCTGCTAAAGAGGAAATGCAATCATTTGATGTAGGTGTTCTGGGTCAAAAACAAATCTAAAACATGGAGGATAGTGTACCGAAGAGGATTACGGCCACTGAAAAAAAAAAAAAAAGTTAACTGATTTTTAAATTTTATTTCAGTTTAACATGGGAAAAAAGTCAGAATTCTGACTTCTTTCCCATGTTAAACTGAAATAAAATTTAAAAATCAGTTAACTTTTTTTTTTTTCCAGTGGCCCTAATCCTCTTCCGTAATAGTGATCCTGAGGACAGAGCTTAAAACCTTATGATGTAAGAGAAACAAAGGCCATGAGAGAAATGTCTTGCGGTCTGGTGAGACTTTTTGGCCAACATGCCAAAAAGAAAACCAACAGAAAGCATCATTCTGAATACACACTTCCACACAGTAAACATGGTGGTAGAAGCATCATGCTGCGGGGATGTGTTTACTCAGCGGAGACACACTGCAAAAAATCGAAATCTAGATAAGTCGTTTTTTTTCTTAAAATAAGTGCATTTGTTCTTGAATTCAGGAGGTAAAAGAGACATTCTGCCAATAGAAGAAGACCGTTTACACTTAAAATAAGAAAACAATATTGCATTGTCTTATTACAATTGCATATTATCTAATCATCTTATTTTAAGAGTAAAATTACACATTCCATTGTAAAACTTTCTCATTTACCTACTCAAATTAAGGGTGTTTACCCTAAATTAAGGACATTTTTACTTATTTCTAGATCTTATTTGCAGTGCAGAGATGAGTAGATTTACATATAGAGAAAATATAGAAGAAGAAATACATTAAAATTAAGATATAGTTCCTTATAAGAATGGTCCTGTCCAAGTTTAGACATAAATAAAGCAGAGAAAGCAGGGTGAGGGATTGCTGAAGAGTCAACAAGTCGATGCAATCAACTGGTTTTCCTTAGATAAAAAACTTTTAATCAATTTGACTGTATGATCTTGTGAACTGTAAGGTGCCTTGAGATGACATGTGTTATAGAAATAAACTGAATTGAATAGAATCTTGGGAAGGACCTAAAAATAACGGTTAATAAATATTAATCCAAATTACAAATGAAAAGCAATCTCTGGAACTGCACAGCTGGTAGGAACACTCACTGAAAAGCCTTAGAGAAAATGCTGGTTTTATAAAGTTTAATATAGCAGATCTTAACAGAAGTGAAAGTCTAGGAGGTCTTTGGTTATAAAGTGACAAAATGTGAAAAAAACTAGTTTATACTTTGGCAAAGAACTGAATAAGCATCAAATATAAGCTAGCTTTACTTTAAACGTATATGCCGAGAGCACTCAGAGACAGAGGGACTAAATCCTGCTGATGAGCAGATTAAAAAGTGATTTAATTAAGCCCAGAGGTTTGATTGCATCCTGTGAGGCAGTGAAATCTGTATCATAGCTCCGAGTTTGAGCTAAGCTACATGTTGCAGCCTGACTTCCTTTCTACCCCCTACAGGTTCTTCTACACAGACCTCATGCAAGGCTGCTCAGCTGGCCCAAAAGCTGCTGGCACGGCAATGCTCGGGTGTCTGAAAGCCGAGCTGAGGTTGCAGTGTGTCGTCTAAAAAGCAACTCAATACCCCCGGACCAATCAGATCAAAGGGCTGGTTGAGTTTAAGTTAAAGAAGATATCACTGCAAGGACTGTTTGGAAGTGGAACTTCAGGTTAAGGAAGTACAATTCACTAACAACAGATCTAAAAACATGCAATATGAACGTAAAAGCAGAATCAATTGTAGATTTTAGATCTTTAAATGTCCAGCTTAAAGTCTGAAGGCAAACATGAATTAATTGATTTAAACTGTTAAATTGAATTGCCTTATTAAAGAGAAATGTAAAAAAACTGTTTTGTCGCTCTGCAAAACAAGGTTGTGTCCAAAAGCTCTAACACCTTAGAGAACAGCATTTACAAACTTAAATACTTAATCCTTAATAACTTGAAATTTTCTCTGCAAACCACTAAACTACTGCACCAATAATATATGACAGGGCTGAAAACGAACAACATTATCTTAAATGTCAGAAGCTGTTTTTTAAATTAACGTGTCTGTAGATTAAACAAGAATTCAATCAGCATGGTGCAATATAGATAAGCTTAAGTAGCTGATCTATACTCAACATTTAACTGTTTAGATTTTTGGTTAATCCCTTCATTTATGTTTTTTAAGAATTAAAACCTTGATTTTTTTGTGCCTGCTTTCAGATCCTAGATTAACATCCATCTGAGTGTTTGCTATGCCTGCAAACAAATCAGTTAAATCAGTTAATGATTGTCAAATCTCTGTTACTCCCTTGTATTTTTTATTTATTTATTTTTTTTATTTCTTATTTTTATTCTTATTTTTTTATTGATATTTATTTTATTTTTATTAATTTTTATTCCTAATGCACCTTTTCCTCCTTGTTTGCACCTTCTTAAGTACTATGCCAATATGTGACCAGTGAAGTTCTCCGCTGTGAGATCAATAAAGTTCATCTAATCTAATCTAATCTAATCTAATCTAATCTAATCTAAACATGAATGTGAAAATGTATAAATGAACAATTAATGAGAAGAAACCAGATATTGACATACAGTCTATAGAAGGAAAAGCTAAACATTATTTTCCTGTTTTTGGACATTAAGGATAAAAAAAAGTTTCCATGTTCAAAATGCATAGAGCATCTGTTAAGATGCAACACAGGCTTGAACAACCAGGGAGTTTCCATCCAGTCCCCTGTCCTGAACAGAGACGTTCTCAATGTCAAGGAGATGAAAACTTTTCTCTGCAAAATGTGCAAAATCTGCAGAAGAAAAGCAGTAGGCCTTACAACGACGCCTGTGAGACAAGTTCTGGACCAAAATGTCCAGAAAAGAGACTCATTGAGGATGACACTGCATTTAAAATCTTGTATCATAATGACCATGGTTATATTTAAAAGAAAAAAGTAGATACGCATGAAAGCCTGAGAATGTGAAGTCTTTTAAAGGGAAGCATAGAGGTGGCAGCATGATGCTGTGGGAGTATTATGCCTCATAAAGAAAAAAACTTCAATTAGATTTATTAGAGTAGCTTTTTCAGACATGAAACGGGCAATAAAAATCATTTTTTCCTCCGTAACTGGTCAAAAATATTCTCTAAAAGTATCTGAAAGTTGTTATTCTGGCATTTTATATACAGATGCTGGTCATAAAATTAGAATATCATGAAAAAGTAGATTGATTTCAGTAATTCCATTTAAAAAGTGAAACTTGTATATTATATTCATACATTACATACAAACTCATATATTTCAGATGTTTATTTTGTTTAATTTTGATGATTACAAATGACAACAAATGAAAATCTCAAATTCATCACATCAGAAAATTAGAATATTGTGAAAAGGTTCAAAATTGATGGCCCCTGGTGCCACACTCTAATCAGCTAATTAACTCAAACCACCTGCACAAGCCTTTAAATGGTCTTTCAGTCTAGTTCTATAGGCTACACAATCATGGGGAAGACTGCTGACTTGACAGTTGTCCAAAAGACGACCATCGACACCTTGCACAAGGAGGGCAAGACACAAAAGGTCATCGCTAAAGAGGCTGGCTGTTCACAGAGCTCAGTGTCCAAGCACATTAATAGAGAGGCGAAGGGAAGGAAAAGATGTGGTCGAAAAAAGTGTACAAGCAAGAGAGATAACCGCACCCTGGAGAGGATTGTGAAACAAAACCCATTCAAAAATGTGGGGGAGATTCACAAAGAGTGGACTGCAGCTGGAGTGAGTGCTTCAAGAACCACCACACACAGACGTATGAAAGACATGGGTTTCTGCTGTCGCATTCCTTGTGTCAAGCCACTCTTGAACCACAGACAGCGTCAGAAGCGTCTTGCCTGGGCTAAAGAGAAACAGGACTGGACTGCTGGTGAGTGGTCCAAAGTCATGTTCTCTGATGAAAGTAAATTTTGCATTTCCTTTGGAAATCAAGGTCCCAGAGTCTGGAGGAAAAGAAGAGAGGCACTTCATCCACGTTGCTTGAAGTCCAGTGTAAAGTTTCCACAGTCAGTGATGGTTTGGGGTGCCATGTCATCTGCTGGTGTTGGTCCATTGTGTTTTCTGAGGTCCAGGGTCAACGCAGCCACATACCAGGAAGTTTTAGAGCACTTCATGCTTCCTGCAGCTGACCAACTTTTTGGAGATGCAGATTTCATTTTCCAACAGGACTTGGCACCTGCACACAGTGCCAAAGCTACCAGTACCTGGTTGAAGGACCATGGTATCCCTGTTCTTAATTGGCCAGCAAACTCTCCTGACCTTAACCCCATAGAAAATCTATGGGGTATTGTGAAGAAGAAGATGCAATACACCAGACCCAACAATTCAGAAGAGCTAAAAGCCACTATTAGAGCAACCTGGGCTATCATAACACCTGAGCAGTGCCACAGACTGATCGACTCCATGCCACGCCGCATTGCTGCAGTAATACAGGCCAAAGGAGGCCCAACTAAATACTGAGTGCTGTACATGCTCATACTTTTCATGTTCATACTTTTCAGTTGGCCAACATTTCTATAAATCCTTTGTTTTTATTGGTCTTCAGTAATATTCTAATTTTCTGATATGATGAATTTGAGATTTTCATTTGTTGTCATTTGTAATCATCAAAATTAAACAAAATAAACATCTGAAATATATGAGTTTGTATGTAATGTATGAATATAATATACAAGTTTCACTTTTTAAATGGAATTACTGAAATCAATCTACTTTTTCATGATATTCTAATTTTATGACCAGCACCTGTAAATATAAAGGATTTCTGTTTTAATTCAAGCCTCGTGTCTGTGTAATATGTCATTTAGTTTCTTGTTTCAGTCTTTATTTAAACCCATTAATAGCTTAGTGGTGAATAAACAGGACTTTTCATACAGTTTAGATTTGTTTCAGTGATCCAAACATTTTGCTTATTTAGAAATCTCAAACAAATGAAGATAGATTTCGGAGAAGCTGGAATCTTCTATGAAGCGACGTCTGAAATTCCCTTTGATGTCTGAACTTAGACATCTCAGCATTTCTCCTATCTATCCCATCTGGTCTAAGAGCAGCACAAGCAAATTCCTGACAACATCCATCCAAGCCTGTTACTGTAACTGCCTGGAGGCAAAACGGATATCTGCAAGAAAGAAAAAGAGTATAGAAAAATAGCAGAGAGAGCTGAAGGCACCTACTGATCATGACGGAGACCGTGTTTACTTCAGGATTGAAGGAGCACCTCCCTTTTCCTGATTCCATTCTTGAGTCAATATAAAACACTTGCTCCTGCGACACAGAAAAGGACAGTCAGATTTGACAACCTTCTAAGAACACTTCTTCTTTGCACAAAAAGATTCCTTATAAGTAAAACAAGTGTCTCTGAAAGAAGCCAGGTTTTCCCTCTATTTAATTTAAATTAATCTTTCAGACACAGACTCGCTTCGGTTTACCTTAACCGGCCCCTAAAGGCCACTAAAATAACATTTCCTTTAAGCAGAGACAGGGAATTTTCCTGCTGATGTGTTGGACAGCGATCTTTCCAACTCAGGCCGAAATGCTGCCAAAGTGCAACACCCTCCCTGTGGCAGACTTAACAGGCCAAGAGTAACCTGTGTAAATTATAGCACTTCCTGTCCCATCCATTAGGATGTGGCATGTTGGATGACATCAGTGAGGAAGCATTAACCCAGGAAAACATTTCTGTTTGCCAAAGTCTTTTGGAGATGGACACAGTACAGCTGGCAGGTTCCAGGAACAAGCCTCTTCATGTTGTAAAGGACCCAGAATATGTCCCCAGCTAAATATTTTAGTCATCTACCAGGACTTGACCTGAATGTTTGATGGCTATGGAAGATATTGAATGATTTTAGAGGTAAACATGTCTTTTTTTTATGTGTTTTTGTTATATTACAGCCAAATAGCCCAACTAAATATCCATTTGATAGCATTCTATAGCATTTATTCTTCAATACGCATCCATATTATTGCAACAATATTATTGTTGCACCGATACCGGTACCAGTATCGGGCGGGGCCCCGATCCAGCACTAAACTGGTGAAGAGGACCGACAAATAGGGCACCGATAACATTTTGAGAGCCAAGAGTTTATTCAACTATTGTCATGCATCCCAGGTAGGCAATAAAAAGTTCTACTGGATTCACTTTCTATTAGTCTTTTTCCTGCTTCACAAAAGTAGGCAGCAGCTTGACAAAGCATGACGGCAATTATTTTACATCCAAGTAGTATGCAGTTCTTCTTATATACACACACATATCAATTTCAAACGGATCAGAATCAGAATCAAGTTTATTGCCAAGTAGGTTTGCACTTACAAGGAATTTGACTTGGTGTTGTTGGTGCAGACAAAAAACAAAATAAGATAGAATATATATATATATACACAGAAGCTATATACACACAGTAGACTGTGCGTTAATGTAACGCAGAAGTCCTGAATGGGGGAGAGAAACATTGTGCAGTGTCACAGGCGGCTCTTGGCCTTGTTGATAAGGCCGGTAGCAGATGGGAAAAAACTGTTTTTGTGACGGGAGGTTCTGGTCTTGATGGACCGCAGCCTCCTGCCAGAGGGTAGTAACTGAAATAGTTTGTGACTGGGGTGCGAGGGATCAGCCACAATCTTCCCTGCACGCCTCAGAGTCCTGGAGGCGTGCAGCTCCTGGAGAGATGGGAGATTGCAGCCAATCACCTTCTCTGCAGACCGGATGACACGCTGCAGTCTGCTCTTGTCCTTAGCAGTGGCTAGTGTTGCACCGATACCGATACCAGTATCGGACGGGGCCCTGATCCAGCACTAAACTGGTGGTATCGGTATCGGTGAGTACCAACAAATAGGGCACCGATACCATTTTGAGAGCCATAAGTTTATTCAACTATTGTCACCCACTCCTGGTAGGCAATAAAAAGTTCCACTGGATTCACTTTGTATTTGATTTTTTCCTGCTTCACAAAGGTAGGCAGCAGCTTGACAAAGCCATGATGGCAATTATTTTACATTATTATGGTATCGGTATCGGCCGATACGGCACAGCCAGGTTTCGGGGCCAAAAAATGGCATCGGCGCAACACTAGCGTTGGCACCAGCGTACCAGATGGTGATGGAGGAAGTGAGGATGGACTCAATGATCGAGGAGTAGAACTGCACCATCATTGTCCTGGGCAGGTTGAATTTCTTCAGCTGCCGCAGGAAGTACATCCTCTGCTGGGCTTTTTTTGGTGAGGGAGTCGATGTTCAGCTCCCACTTTAGGTCCTGGGAGATGATAGTTCCCAGGAAGCGGAAAGACTCCACAGTGTCAATGGTATCGGTATCGACCGATACTGCACAGCCAGGTATCGGGTATCGGTATCGGGGCCAATAAATGGCATTGGCGCAACACTAAACAATATTATATAACCATGAGGTAAAATTTGCATTACTATCAAAACACCATGATCAGAGAAATACTTTCCTTACCTATTGGGATTTGTCCTCATTTAAATGAGGTGACAAAAAGATAATGACAGATAAGACCAGATAATATGAGGTTTTTGGAAAATTACAATAATAATAATAGTATAATAAATCAAATTTTTATTGCTATTAAAAGCCCCACAGTAATAACAGAGCTGCATATCTCCCACAGTGAGCCGTGGAGTTTTCTTTGCCTCTCCCTTTTTACCATAAAGCGACTTATGAAAATCAAAACTGCTCCCTTAGAAAAATCCCTTTTATGACTCAGAGAAACAGGAAGTTGGAGATCGCCAATTAGAATTTCTTTAAGTTATTTTAATCTGGGAATTACACAAAGATAGATTTTGGATTTTTTTGTGAACTTTGAAGCTTATGTGCTACATGTGGTGGAAACATCTTGATATACTTTTTAAATTTTCTCTACAATATGATTTCTTAAGAACTGAATTAATAAGACGCCATGTGATATTTTATTATTTAAATGATCATAATCTTGTTTAGATTGAAAGAAAATTTTAAAGTTGTTGAACATTTGGGGTTATTGCCAATAATTGGATCAATCTTTGCTAACTTTATACATCCTCTGTTGGGATAAAACTTCCCTTTTTCATTAGAATTATAGCAAAAACAAAATTATCTTATACATATGTGGACAACCGAAATCTAGGGGTAAGTTACGGATACGTTTACGCTAATTTGATTTAGACTTAAAGGTGAAATGGATTATTAGATGTCACTATTTCTCAATAGTATGAAGCAGAAAAGCTGTTAAATAGTTTACCCTCTCCATTATATTGCATTTCAAAACACCACGACCAGGCTAGAGGATCTGAAAGCCCAAATGTCCTAAAGGAGAGCTCCAAACGTTCCCCTTCAGCAACTTTTTATGCTTACCAGATCTCTTTTCACGAGGCAGCGCTATGATTGAGCTCAGCGCTTGCAAACAGAGCAGTCTGCCTTTCAAACAAAAACCTCAAATGACAAAAGGCTCTGCAGAGAGGAAAGAGCCTGGTTTTCTCTGCTTATTAACGTTTGGCAGAGCTCCGGGGGATAAATGTTGTTCACTCAGCGAGCTCTTTTCTCTTGGAGGGCTTCCCTGCTTGTTCTTCCAAGGCTGCGTGGCCGGATATGAGAGCCCAGAAAAGAGCAGGCCTCCACTCTCCTCTCCCTTATCACATGAGGCATCAAACTAACATGAAAACTTGGCTTGCATAAAGTTAAAGAATCTAATACCTTGTTGAAAACATACAACAATCCTTACATAGCAATTTAGAATGGACTGACAGTCAAACAATTCATACATTTCCAGATGTAGCTTCATTCAACAGCCAGAAGTCTGCAAGAGCACTTCTAATAGCTCATCCAAAGTGGTTTTTACTCTCCGCTGTGGTTAACCAGTTTATTTCTATAATGAAGAGAATCAATCACTGTGAACCCACCTCAGGTCTTCGGCCTCTGTTGATGTACACACAGACGGGGCTGTAGGCTCCACTGCCACACATAAACAGATGAGTTCTGTTATAGGGCTGCACCACACGCACAAAGTTCCCACAGCCATGCTGGAAAGTGACAGAAACAAAACAAGCAGAAAAACCTGAAAAGTTTGGCATCTGATTATATTTCTAATAACTTTTACTGTTGAAAAAAGGGATAAAAACAAAAAACTGTCATAATTTACCAAAAACTCCAAGAAACTAAACAAGACTTCCTCTCGTACATCAAACTCTGCATTTAAATGTCAACGCTTAACTTCTGTTTTAGCATTTTGGCCCAACTTTGCACATAAATCAAAGAAATTAACAGAAACCGTTTTTTACCCCCTAATTCCACGTTTTAGAGTTCTTGCTTCTTTTTAGAGAAATTTGACAAAGACTTTCTTTAGTGTTTTTCGTCTTAGTGTTAAATCTATTCAGCTTAAAAGTAAATTAGAAAGAAAACTGATTAAGAAAGGGCTTGTTGGGCTACTGTATAAAGCTTAGAACTCAAAGCAATTCCAAAAATTTTGAATTGAAAAAGCTTCCTGGATGGGAAGTGAAATGTCTTCGAACTTGGAAACAAATTCCAGTGGATTGTTTTTTTACTTTTTTGAAATGACTGTGACATGGATGATTGAGTATCTTCCCCAGCGTATCTGCAAACTGATCCTCTATCAGAATACTTGTTTTTTCCCCCCATCATTTCTGAATATCCAGCAGACATCTCGGTTTTTTAAACACCAAATAATCTAATTAAAACATATCAGGGTTGAAAATATCTCCTTTATGTAAACAAGGCATTTTCCAAGCTTCGTGAGACTAAATCACACATAATGTAATATCCCTATGGGTAATATGGTATTGTTCATGTTTTCCTTTGTGAAAACTACGGTGGCCCTGAGGTAATGAATTCCATTATCAGATAGTCTCCAACAACTTTCAACTTTATCATCATGCATTATTTCATCAAGGCCTTTTTACAAAGCTAACATTGCTCAAAAGCAACACAGTTTTTTTTTTTCTTACAAAAGGCAAAAATAAATCTATTTCGCTGACATTTGTTTCAGGTACAAACATGAAGTGAACACCAGTTCATGAACCTTATTTCTTGGAAAAGATTCAACACGAGGCAGTATTTAAACCTTATCTCAGTCATGACTCTGTTATGAATGTTAATAATAATGGAATCCAGTTCTAACTGGTGAGTAAGATCTTAATACAGAATGTGTTGCGTTATTATCTTTCATAATGCAATGTATGATATTTCAAAGAAATAACAGGGACAACCAGTTATTATAGACATGGTTATTGCACCAGTTAACTAGTCTCTAATGGATGGAAACTTTTCCACTTTTGTCATGGTTTTGGTTCTGTTCAAGTTTTATATCTGAGATTTCATTGGTCTCGTTTCCATTTTTGTGTTCTAGTTGTTTTTGATTACTTGAGTTCTTAGATATTTCTTGTTTGCCCTCATGTGTCAGTTTCCTTTTCCCTAGGTCCCTTCTTGCCTCCTCTGTTCACGCCTGATTCCAATCTGCTAATTAGCCTGATCTTTGTTTGTCTCTCCCATATATTCTCCTCCTGTTCCGTCTGTTAGGAATCCAGTTTGTGTGGGTTGTGTATTGTTTGTGTATTCTCCCTCCACCACCAGGTGGCGCCCGGTTCTCGTTGGCCCTTCCACACACCTGCGGATGGTTGGCTCATTATCTGAGGACTCTTAAGCGGCTGACTGCCACTACCTTGACGCCAGAGTGTTTGCCAATTTTGGGTACTCTAGCCAAGCTGAGTTTAGCTGAGTCTAACTGAGTCTTTTGTTTCTCTGAGTCTAACATTGTTTTGGTCTTTGCCTCTCGGCAGGAAGTCATCCTGCAAACTGGATGTTTTGGCCTTCTACCCCTGGAAGGATCGTTTGAGCTTCACACTGAGCAGGGGATGCAAACTGGATGTTTCGACCATCTCCCCCTGAAAGGATTGTTTGAGCTTCACACTGAGCAGGGGATAAATCTCCACACGTGCCGTTCAAGTTCTCCTGGAAATCTAAGCGGCAGTCAGCTCCATTTCTCCTCAGGGAACCAACCTAAGCTAAAGTAAAACCTGTCCGCCCGCCAACGAGTCAACTAAATTCTGGAATAACCCACACCGACTGGATTCTGGGAAGGACACCTTTTTCTGGAAACGTGAGTCCCTTTCCAGTCTTTGTTTTTTTTAAGTCATCCAAGTTTCCTACAGAACCTGAACTAAACTCTGAACTTCCCTTCTCACTTCCAGTTCCGCTTCACCAGCGTTCTGAGTAACTCTGGATCCATGCATCGTGCTCTCAATAAACCTGTTAAACCTTTTCTCTGGTTCTCTGAGTGGTTTCCTGCATGTGGGTCAGATCCCTTAAAAGAAACATGACACCGTCACTCTTTGCTGGTTTGTCATAATTTCTTTGGCCCTGTGAGTATTCCTGGTTCTCAGTTTTTGTGGATTTATGTTTTTGGATTTTTGCTTCTGTCACCCTTTTTGTTATTAAATCTTCAAGAACCTATGTCACCTTTAGTATCTGCATCTGGGTCCTGTCAAACCTCTACCCCACCGTGACAACTTTCTTCTTTTAAGTCACACCAAAGCTTCTAAATGAGATAAACATTGATTCTACTTAACTTGGTCGATGACTCAAGTCGTTGTAATGTTACAGGGTCTAGTTCTGCTGTGACTTTGTAGATGGTCTCACATTTCCACCATGCTGTATGCAGGATGAGATTCATGGATGATTCTGGGCTGCTCCAGCACAGCGTCCCCAAACATGGCACTCTTGTTATTGTGTAAGATTCTTTTCCTGGAATTCTCTACCAGCGTTATACCAAACGCATCTGTCCAAATATTATTACACAGATGTAATTTTTTCTCTGTCTATACACTGACTTGGTAAGTGAGTAAAGGTTTCCTCCTTTCACATCGTCCTTGAAAGCTGAACTTTTCTGTTTCATCTCTGGCATTTCTTCTTCCTTTAACCTTCAGAGGTTGTAACATACGATATAAGTTTCTTTTGTGGTCCGCTTTCAGGCTGAGCTTACTTTGACGGTGAGAATTAAGAAGACTGGAAATTTTTATACTCCCAATTTGCTTGTGGACCATTTTCTATGCGTGGAAAGGCTGATTGAATTGAAAGACGTTTGAATCCTCTGTAGGACAGTTAAAGTGCTACAGTCTTTATTGAAAAACAGCTGTTTTTTATCCCACTGTGCTGTTCACTGTCACTTTCACATTCAGGATCATGAGGCTTAAAGAGGGAAAACCAGCCCTAAAATGCAGAGTAATGATGGTCCGGACATGTAGACTTAATGGAATTCATATTAGGTGTAAATGTGTGGGTGTCCTAATGTAATCAGAGAAACACAGCCTTTAATTTAATGGGTTTACATTTCTTTTGCATTTATGTTGCCATTTGTAAACCAAGAATTAGGCAATCCTATGCATAACTTGGATTAGATCAAAACCACTGCAAACCGGGGTGCTTCTACCGAACCTACCTCGGTAGCAGTTTGAGTGAATGACTTTGTAATTGAGCCTATAGCAGAAAAAAAAAAGCAGAGAAAGGAGGGGGAGGACCAGAACGTCTATCTGGGGAGCCGTCAGGAACTTGGACATGACTTCAGAATCAGCAGCTGCTGCACATCATGGTCGGCGTGCAAACGTCCACCGAGAGCCATCAGCGAACAGCAACTGAATATTTTACCCGCTCACACCCATTTCTGTTATTTATCCTGGTTTGCTTTATCGCCGTCTGTCTTTCCTGCTTTACATTTCCACAGAACCACGAGGCCTGTGATCATAACTGATCAGTCTTACAAAGCCACATTTATGTGTTCAACCTTATCGTATTTTACTTTGCTCTCGTGTTTCCCGCAGAACCTCAAGTTCCTTCACTCTGAACTCAATGTGATCATAAATGCTTATGAGAAAAAAAAATCTGTGCAACTGTGCAAATGGTTTCGATTCTACTTCTGCTGCATACAAATCACTCTCGAGACCTTGTTTCAATAAGTTAGATGTGGATCTAAAGGAGGAACAATGAAAAAATATTTTAACCCAGATTTTTTTTAAATGTTGGAATTCACTGTATTTGACTTCATTTTACAATAAAGTGATTTATGTTGGACCTCTAGAGTAAAACAAAAGAAGCTGAAACAAAGTATATCTGACAACACTATTAGTCTAAATTATAGCCAGATCCAAGCTATGGAAATTGAAGAACAGATGACAAGAAACTGCCAAACTTCTATCAATCGGGAGAAGGTTACAAGTATTTTTCTAAGATTTTGGGACTTTGGTGAATCACACATTAGCCACAAACAATAAAAAAGGAACAGGATAAACCTTCCTCGGACTGGTAAGGCCTCCAAGATTACTCCAAGAGCATCAATGACTCACAATTAGCACTGCAGTCCTCCGCCCTTTTATATCCAAGTAACATTAAATTAAAAACAGTTTGAATTGATTCCTATTTTACATCTTAGAAAGAAATCTTTGTACTGACATCTGTGTCTGTTGTTTCAGCGAAAGATGTATAATTTGCATAATGTGGAAGTAGATAGTGACTGTCAAGGTTCGTTGTGGTTTGGAGGACCCAAATGCAGAGGCAGAGGTGAATACTTGTAGTTTTAATGAAAAAGGTTAACAAAGGCAGTCCAAAAATCCAACTAAAAATGTAACAGACCAGAACAATGGAGACATCAAGGGAAAACACGTAGAAGAAGCCAGGGAGAGACGAGGGGAGACAACTACAGCAAAGACAGGACCAGCAACAACAAGGAACCAACAAAGAGTGAGAGCAGAGGGAGAGCATAAATAGCTGACAGATACAAAGGGAGGGCTAATGAGCTGACAAGGAGCAGGTGTGAGAGGAGACAACGAGGGAGCCAAGGGGAAAGGAACACACACACACAAGAGGGCAACAGAGGAAAACATGAGAATTAACAAATTTAGAAATTACAACAAAATAGGAATTAAACCATTAAAAACTAGAAAACAAGGAGCAAAGTAAAGCATAACATAACCAAAACCATGACAGCGACAGCATAAAAAAAAAAAGCTCCAAT